GCTAACAAACAAGCTGCTGTAATTAACAGCTTTGCTATTGAAAAGATTCTTGACGTAATTACAGCTAACAAACAAGCTGCTGTAATTAACAGTTGTTATTGAAATGATTCTTGACGTAATTACAGCTAACAAATAAGCCGCTTTGATTAAAAGGTATTGCTATTGAAATGATTCTTGACGTAATTACGGTTAACAAACAAGCTGCTGCAATTAACAGGTATTGTTATTGTAATGATTCTTGACGTAATTACAGCTAACAAACAAGCCGCTGTAATTATAATTAAGAGGTATGTTATTGAAATGATTCTTAACGTAATTACAGCTAACAAACAAGCTGCTGTAATTAACAGCTTTGCTATTGAAAAGATTCTTGACGTAATTACAGCTAACAAACAAGCTGCTGTAATTAACAGTTGTTATTGAAATGATTCTTGACGTAATTACAGCTAACAAATAAGCCGCTTTGATTAAAAGGTATTGCTATTGAAATGATTCTTGACGTAATTACGGTTAACAAACAAGCTGCTGCAATTAACAGGTATTGTTATTGTAATGATTCTTGACGTAATTACAGCTAACAAACAAGCCGCTGTAATTATAATTAAGAGGTATGTTATTGAAATGATTCTTAACGTAATTACAGCTAACAAACAAGCTGCTGTAATTAACAGCTTTGCTATTGAAAAGATTCTTGACGTAATTACAGCTAACAAACAAGCTGCTGTAATTAACAGTTGTTATTGAAATGATTCTTGACGTAATTACAGCTAACAAATAAGCCGCTTTGATTAAAAGGTATTGCTATTGAAATGATTCTTGACGTAATTACGGTTAACAAACAAGCTGCTGCAATTAACAGGTATTGTTATTGTAATGATTCTTGACGTAATTACAGCTAACAAACAAGCCGCTGTAATTATAATTAAGAGGTATGTTATTGAAATGATTCTTAACGTAATTACAGCTAACAAACAAGCTGCTGTAATTAACAGCTTTGCTATTGAAAAGATTCTTGACGTAATTACAGCTAACAAACAAGCTGCTGTAATTAACAGTTGTTATTGAAATGATTCTTGACGTAATTACAGCTAACAAATAAGCCGCTTTGATTAAAAGGTATTGCTATTGAAATGATTCTTGACGTAATTACGGTTAACAAACAAGCTGCTGCAATTAACAGGTATTGTTATTGTAATGATTCTTGACGTAATTACAGCTAACAAACAAGCCGCTGTAATTATAATTAAGAGGTATGTTATTGAAATGATTCTTAACGTAATTACAGCTAACAAACAAGCTGCTGTAATTAACAGCTTTGCTATTGAAAAGATTCTTGACGTAATTACAGCTAACAAACAAGCTGCTGTAATTAACAGTTGTTATTGAAATGATTCTTGACGTAATTACAGCTAACAAATAAGCCGCTTTGATTAAAAGGTATTGCTATTGAAATGATTCTTGACGTAATTACGGTTAACAAACAAGCTGCTGCAATTAACAGGTATTGTTATTGTAATGATTCTTGACGTAATTACAGCTAACAAACAAGCCGCTGTAATTATAATTAAGAGGTATGTTATTGAAATGATTCTTAACGTAATTACAGCTAACAAACAAGCTGCTGTAATTAACAGCTTTGCTATTGAAAAGATTCTTGACGTAATTACAGCTAACAAACAAGCTGCTGTAATTAACAGTTGTTATTGAAATGATTCTTGACGTAATTACAGCTAACAAATAAGCCGCTTTGATTAAAAGGTATTGCTATTGAAATGATTCTTGACGTAATTACGGTTAACAAACAAGCTGCTGCAATTAACAGGTATTGTTATTGTAATGATTCTTGACGTAATTACAGCTAACAAACAAGCCGCTGTAATTATAATTAAGAGGTATGTTATTGAAATGATTCTTAACGTAATTACAGCTAACAAACAAGCTGCTGTAATTAACAGCTTTGCTATTGAAAAGATTCTTGACGTAATTACAGCTAACAAACAAGCTGCTGTAATTAACAGTTGTTATTGAAATGATTCTTGACGTAATTACAGCTAACAAATAAGCCGCTTTGATTAAAAGGTATTGCTATTGAAATGATTCTTGACGTAATTACGGTTAACAAACAAGCTGCTGCAATTAACAGGTATTGTTATTGTAATGATTCTTGACGTAATTACAGCTAACAAACAAGCCGCTGTAATTATAATTAAGAGGTATGTTATTGAAATGATTCTTAACGTAATTACAGCTAACAAACAAGCTGCTGTAATTAACAGCTTTGCTATTGAAAAGATTCTTGACGTAATTACAGCTAACAAACAAGCTGCTGTAATTAACAGTTGTTATTGAAATGATTCTTGACGTAATTACAGCTAACAAATAAGCCGCTTTGATTAAAAGGTATTGCTATTGAAATGATTCTTGACGTAATTACGGTTAACAAACAAGCTGCTGCAATTAACAGGTATTGTTATTGTAATGATTCTTAACGTAATTACAGCTAACAAACAAGCTGCTGTAACTAACAGCTATGTTACTGAAATGATTCTTGACGTAATTACAGCAAACAAACAAGCTGCTGTAATTAAGAGTTGCTATTGAAATGATTCTTGACGTAATTACAGCTAACAAACAAGCCGCTGTAATTAACAGGTATGTTATTGTAATGATTCTTGACGTAATTACAGCTAACAAACAAGCTGCTGTAATTAACAGTTTTGTTATTGTAATGATTCTTGACGTAATTACAGCTAACAAACAAGCCGCTGTAATTATAATTAAGAGGTATGTTATTGAAATGATTTCTTAACGTAATTACAGCTAACAAACAAGCTGCTGTAATTAACGGCTATGTTATTGAAATGATTCTTGACGTAATTAAAGCAAACAAACTAGCTGCTGTAATTAAGAGTTGCTATTGAAATGATTCTTGACGTAATTACAGCTAACAAAACAAGCCGCTGTAATAAAAAGGTATTGTTATTGTAATGATTTCTTGACGTCATTACAGCTGATAAACAAGCCGCTGTAATTAATGCCGCGTCCATATTACGCCAGAAAAAGTTAAAAACGTTGCGATCAACGGTCATTTTAGATTAGGGAGTTTAAGAAAACACGACGGCGACGCCAAGGACATCGTCGGTTAAAAAATGAACTTATATTTTAGCTAGGAATCTCGCGATACCCTAGAGTCATTAGTGTGTTTCTCACTGTCAAAACTATCTGGAAACTGAATATGGAACACAGCTGGAATATAAATTTAAAAAACTTAGCCGTCGTCGTTCATGTTCTGAAGACAACGCAGAATTTGGTCATTTCACGTTATTGTTTTGTAGAGGACGGTAAAGAAATGTACCAAGAATTATAACGCCAGCTGTAACGTACGTGCACAGCCATTGTTGTGCTCGTTAAACCTTTTCAGTGTTTAGCGACGTTCCCGTTGCCCTTGCCAACGTCGTTTTCTTAAACTCACCGTTGGTATTTGAGGAAAACTTGGGCGGGGAAATCACGGGATTTTCGTGACGTTATCGTTTTCGAAAGCAATCGTAAAGATTCTCAACCTTACCTAATGCAAGTCCCAAACACACTGTAGAATGAAATTGTTGGTTTGTTACTTGGTTTCGTTCTAATTAAACAGCCACCCTCGGGAAAATGGATAGTGGCCGCTTAAAAGGGGCTGGCCGCTAACAGAGGTAAAAACAATAGAAAAAACTTCATCGGGACTTTGATTCAGTGGCCGCCTAATAGGGGTGGCCGTTTAATAGGTGGCCGCTTAATAGGGTTCGACTGTAGTAGGTTTTGGTGGACATGAACCTAGTCGCACAATATCAGTTCAACGTCGACGAAACGAACCTTCCTGAGGTCTCCTGACCATGTACATTAATAGCAGTAGATCTTGGAATAAAATTGTACTAAAAAAATAATCAAATATTACGAACGTCCAAATTCTTTTTATACGCTTAAGTTTACATACCCTCTATCCAGAATATGGCAGAAACTGGGAGATCAAAAGAGCGTTAAATCTTTGCCTTGGATTAAACTACCGAAAAACTCCGGGACAGCACATGCATAGCCCGCAACCAGGAAATCTCCTTTTCGATCTTACTTTGCACTCGAAGAATGACCCCTCGTGGGGTGGGGTGGGGTTGGGGCACTCTAAAACGTTTTATTGGGGGCTTCTTCTCGAGGTTTGACCCCTTGCCCTGTTATATACCGCTTTTGGCAGCAAAGGTAACCCTTCTTCCATAAAAAAAATGGTCCCCCTAAAAAACTTACCAAGAAAAGGTGCACCAGAAAATTTCTGCCCCAACAAAAAGCCCGAATCGCTAATTTCAAACCTCCAAATCAAAAGATCTTATTAGCCTGTACGAGATACTTTGAAAGCCCCTCTAAGATATCAAATAATAGTTATTCCTGCCCTGTTCTACACTTTAACTACTGAAAACCCTTCCATTTTATATACAGTCGAAGCTCTCTACAACGGCGACATTGGGAACAGAGGAAAGTGGCCACTGTAGACAGGTGGTCCTTATGGGGAGGTAGGAGTGTTCTTTTCGAGGAAACAACATCTATACTTTTTCAAAATAATGCTTCTTTCAGCCTATAAATTCGGGACACAATCAAAGTAACTAGATAGAAACAGAGAGCAACTACGCGCAGTATGGATCAAGTTTGGTAACCATTCTCCAGTAAAAAATGTGGTTTTGTATTCACCGTTCGTCAGTAATTGATTAACTGGCCGTTGTCAGGAGGTTAACGCGATTTAGTAATCGTTGCCGTTGTGGAGAGGTGATCGTTGTAGAGAGGTTAAAAAAAGAGTGAATGTATGGACTTTCCGCCGGGTCCAAAGAAGTGGCTGTCGTAAACGAAATGAGGTGGCCGTTAGTGGAGGTTCAACTGTACCTCCCCCCCCCCCCCTTTTGGTTTAGTGAGGGAAGCACACTCCATCCCCCTGAAAGAATGGCTCATGCAGGCACAGGCAAGTAGCAGACAAAGCCAGCTGAGCAAGCTTTTCTAAACTTTTTTTTTATTTGATACAAGGAGTCGTTTTACCATAAAATCTATATTTATATTCATGAACAGTTTTCATAATATTAACATCTGTATTTACCATATATTCCTACACTATATCATAATTTTTTATAAAGTTCTTAACCAGTTCACAACAGCAACCCACCTCAATTTCTTGGCTAAACCTCTCAGAAGTACAACCAGGCTAAACTTAAACTAAACCTAAACTTTAACTTTAAAATGTCTAGAAGGTTATTGAATGCTATTCTATATTTTTGTGCTTCCTAAACCTTTGCTGCAAATTTGGGAATTTAGTTGTAACCAAGCTTATAGGGCACATATTTTTGTCACCATGATTTGCAAAAATGATAATACATTTACTAACAATTAAATCACCCTGGGTGCTAATTCACATAAAAACTGATTTTATAATTAATACATGAAATTGATTATTTTGGCACACATAACAAAACTAACAAATTGTGGATTAAAGCCATGGCTAGGGAGGTACCAGGTGCAAATGAGTAATGGTGTAGAGGAGGGGGGAGGGTGAAAGAGTCGACATTAGAGGATCCCTAATTTTTTGTTTCATGGTCTTTCAGGATATTGTCTTTTATTTTATCGTTTTTTCTGTGTCTCTCTTCTTCAGGTACCTCTCCTGGTCGTGTAGGGAGACATACATGTGTATGTACCACTGGGTTCTATTTAATTTTGTCCAGAGTACAATAATTTATACTCTAACAGTAACATGTGCAAACACACTGTGAGAAGATTGAATGTACATGGTAAACACTATTAGATTTACCCTGTGAAACCAGAATTTTCTTCAGATTTACTTGGGTGAAAAACATGTTTATAAAAAAATGCGAGTATATACATTGTATCGTTGTACATTGTAGCCCTGCAGGGGTCGGCATGAGTAGTAAACTATGCTTCTAAAATCTTGCAGATTCAAACATTTCTTGCAGTAAAGTTGACATGGGAATTTCGCCCTCCAGCTTAGCTCGCACAAGTAAAAAATACTGGTAGCCCTTTGTGCATACATCGCGCAGAGCTGGCAGACGGAGAAGTAGCTTTGCAAATCGTCCAGAATGATCAGGGTATGTTGATTCCATATGCTCTTTAAGAGCTGCTAGAAATGACCCTTGTAGTGCACCAACAGCAATCTTGTCAGTGAGTCCTGGTGTCTCTGCGGAACAGTAATAATCGGCTTTCAAATTAGGATTGCAGAGTGGTTAAATCCCCGGGGAGGGGGGGGGGAGGGGACTCTAATATAAAAAGGACAAGGGTGTTTGTTCTACCTTTTAGGGGTTACAAGGGGTGTGGATACCTCTTGGGGTGTTCAGTCTCAAAAGGTCCACTGCTGAAGGTTTCGCAGGACCTTTTAGGGTATCGAGCTGGAAAAATAAGGAACAATAGATCTTGGTACCTCTTAGGGGTTCTTTTCAAAATTTCTGACGAGCACCCCTGTCCTTGTTACATGGGAGTCCCTCCCCCTCCCCCCCCCCCCCCCCCCCCCC